CTGTGTGACCCTGGGCAAGTCACTTAACCCCAATTGCCTAAAAAAAATAAAATAAAATAAAATAACTGTGTGACTTAACCTCTGCCTCAATTTCCTCATCTGTAAAATGGGCATAATAATAGTAGCTAACTCCCAGGGTTGTTGCAAGGTTGTATATATATATATTATATATATATATTATATATATATAAATATATACACATCTCTCTCTATATATATGTATGTATATATTGTTAGTTGTTTTCTTATTTGGAAGGGGCTGAGAGGAGTCACTCGCCTCCCAGGGAGGAGGTGGGGTGGGGAAGAGCCCTGCCCCCGGAACCAGAGGACTTGGGCTCAAAACATGCCTCTGATGCTTACTGACATGTGTGACCTTAGGCCGCCACTGAGCCTCTCTGCATCTCTGTTTCCTCACTGGGCAAATGGGGGTTGGACCAGAAAGCGTTCCTAGGTTCCCTCTGGGCCTCAGTTTCCTCAACTGTAAAATGAGAGAGTTAGAATCCATGGTCTCCGAGTTCCCTTCCAGCTCTAGAAACCCATCTGTGACCTTGAGTAAGTCTGGCTTGGCCTCAGTTTCCTGATCTGTAACACGAGGTGGTTGGCTAGATGACCCTGGGGGTTTCTCCTCCCTCCAACTCTACATCTGTGGTCTAGTATTTGTCCTTGGGCAAGGTCATGCCAGTCCCTGCCCCTGTCCCAGAGAAGTTGCCTTCTCTGTAAAATGAGGGGGGTGGCCTCTGCAGTCTGTCCCAGCTCCAGGCCTGAGATCGTTACCTAGAGGGACCCCCATTCAAAGGGCTATGCTTCTCCAAAGTGCTCCAGGCGGCTCCCCTGGCACCTGCGTTCCTGTGCTCCTCTGTGTCATGCACAGGCCTCACCTCGACTGTCCGTCACCCGCCTCTCTAATGCACCTATTGTGCGTCAGAGTGGGTTTGAGTCTTGTTGGCCCACTGGCCTCCTCCAGCCCTAGGTTGTGTGCTGCAGGACTGAGAGGCAGTCTGGGCAGCTCTTTTGTGCCCCAGTGAATCAGACTAGAAAGAGCTAAGAAGGGCCTGGTTATCAGCCTGAAGGGACGATAAGAAGCTATAGGTGGTAGGGGAAACATTCTCCTTGCCCATCCTCTTTATCACCGTTACGTGCTTCCCTAGGATGCTGGGGGCCACCACATTCCTCACTGAGAGACAAAGTCCACCAGGCTGGTCTTCTCACCCCTGGCCCAGTTCAAAAAGCCTCTACTTTTCTCCCATGGTAGGCCCCAGCAGACTCTGTGTGGCCTTCAAGGCCTCAGGGCCATCTCTATAATCCATTCACATCAGGCTAGAACTTTAGGGGAAGAAATTCAGGGCCAAAAAAGGCAGTCTCACTGTGAGTCATAGAAAGGCCAACCATCAGAGAGAAGGAGGGCTCTCACAGAGGGACAGGCCACAGGGCTGTACTGAATGTTGCCATGAAAATGTAAAGTCTTACAGATCCTGGAAGGTCCCTAGCACACTGAGTGGTCGTAAGAATAGTAACAAACGCCCTGCCCCATGGCCATGAAGGCCTTGCCAAGAACTTGGAGGCTGTGGAGAACCTCACAAAGGAAAAGGAACTCTTACAGTCAGTCAGTCACCTATGGAGGTGGGGAAACCAGGCTCCAGAAGAGGCACACAATTGCTAAATGGAGGAACCTGGGTCTCCCCTGGCGATTTCTACACAGCCTCCTGTCTACCAAGGTTTCTGGGAGGGGCAGGAATGGGTGGCAATCTGCTTCACTGGAGAGAGTAACCACCTGAAGGAGATCACGCATCTGAGTCCATTTGGAAGCCCCCACAGAACCCTTTTCTTTCGAGATGGAAAAGTCAGCTTCAGGCCAGCCCTAGTCCAAAGGCCAGCAACACCAAAGTGGCAAAGCAGGCCCTGAGGCTCAGTCCTGGGGAGGGTTTACTGTTTTTGCTAGGTCTTAAAGGCCACACCCGGAATCTGTGTCTCTTTAGCCTCAAGCCAGGGCTCTGGTCCCAGAATGGTTCAACAGGAGAAAGTCATTCATGGCTACAAAAAGCCCAGAAGAAAGGAGCATTCTCAGGCTTCCGAGATTTCTTCCAAATTCCCTGGGCCTCAGTATGCTCACGTGATCAATGGGTAGTCTTCCACTGGGCTCAGAAAAGCCATAAAGTCCCAGACACTGCTCCAGCCCACACCTAGGACAGGTTGGGGGATCCAGGACATGCACAATGGATGTCAGGTCATGGCTTTCTAGGCAGCTAGCTGTGCCCAGCACCGAGCCCGGGGGGGGGGGGGGGGGCTCTGCCCTCCAGCAGCTGGTGCTCTCCCAGACTTAACTACTGAAGTTAGGAGGCAGATCGGCAAGAGCTGACATTGTATCATGGGCCCTCGGGTTTGCAAAGCGTTCCCAAATCCTATCTGGTTCTGTCCTCACACCCCCTGGGGAGGGGGAATAGAGGGGGCGCTGAGGATGCTATGTCACTGTCCCTGAGGCAGACAGAGGTGGAAAGACCTGTCCAGGGTCCCACAGCCAGGATAGTCTGAGGCTGGATTTGAACTCAGGGCTTCCTGACTCAGGTCCAACGCTCTGGGCACCAGCGTCCCTTAGCAGCATACTCTGCTTGACAGGGGAATTCTGGAAGCATAAAAGCCACTCCCCAGAACTTGTGGGGTAGGAAAGAGACAGGTCCCTCTCTCTTAATTAAAGGGAATCCCGAAAGCAGTTGTGGGGGGTGGGGGGATGGGGGTGGGGGGCAGGAGACAGAGCAGACTTAGAGACTACCAGACAGGGGCCAGAATCTGACCTCAGGCCCTTCCTGGCTGGGAGAACCCTCACGAGCAGCTCGGTCTCAGTGTCCCTCAGTGTCCCCATCTGTAAAATGGGGATCATAACAGGCTCCAAGAGGAGGATCCCTGCCTGGGACCCTGAAACCTTTAGCTAAGCTCTTCCTAGGACTGAAGGCAGGGCAGCCAGAGGCAGAGGGGGCCTGTCCGTCACTACGATGCTGCTACAGAAATGGGAGATGCTCCCATTTGGCAGATGCAGAAACTGAGGCTGGGAGCAGTGCTGGGCCCACCCCACCCCCATACACACACTCACAGAGTGCTGGGGTCAGCTGCCACTTTTGAATTCAAGGGCTGTGCCTCGCCCCTAGCCCCTTCCCACAATTACAGGAGGGGAGGGGGCCGGCTGGGGAAACTGACTATCTGCTTAATCACCAGGTCTCAGACGCCCCGGATTATTTGTTAATGAGGAGTCTCTGGCGCTGTCCACACGCAGGATCTCCCCTCGGGGGCTGGCACCAGGGGAGCCCAAGGCGTGAGCAGGGCAGCAAAGACGCCCCCCACTCCTGCGTGGGCTATGTGCCCACGGATCCCCGGGCTCGAGTGTGTCCGCCAGTGCAACTTGGGGCTCTGCTGGCGCACGGGCTGGCTCCGACCTCTCTCTGGGACAGCTGGGTAAACAGAGGCTGGGAGGGAGAAAGGGCTGTAAGCCCAGGCCCCCTGGAGGAGGTGGCCAGGCCGGCTGTCCCTTGGCGACGTGCTCCAGGGAAGGTGCCCCTCTCCTCCCCCTGCCCCCCGGCCTCCCAACACGCGCTCACACACACTCCCACGCGCGGAACCCGAGGCAGAGCGCCCAGAGCCGCAGTCCGTCCCCAGGCTCGGCCCTGAGAGTGGACAGAGCCACGGAGTCACGGGCCTCCCCTCCCCAATAGTCTCCCTCCTCCGCTCCCCTGCCCCGGACGTACCTGGGGGTTCGCGGGGCTGCCAGACGCTCCGTCCTAAAGCCCCGGAGTCCGGGGGCCCCAAGCTCAGCCAGACCCGGGACCAAGGCCGGGCTGGCCGCCCCCTCCCTCCAGCCGCTGCCTCCGCCGATCCCAAAGCGTCCAGCCGCTCCGGGGGCTGCCACGGACGCGCGCCCTCCGTCCGGGGTCACTCTGTCAGCACCTGTGCGACCGCGGCCGCCCCGGCCCCGCCCCCAGGTCCTCCTCCGGGGGCCCCGCCCCCCCGGGTGTCCCGCGGTGCTTGGGGCCCTTCCCCTGCGCTATTGCTGCGTCAGCCGGACCGGAGTGCTGGCCCTGCATTCTGTGGGGTCACTGCGCCCCACGATGGCCCAGCGGGCCCGGATCGCGGCAGAGTTGGGGGTCCCAGCCTGGGGCTGGAGCCCGGCGGCCCAGAGACTGGCAGAGTCCGGCCCAAGGTCACGCAGCAGCCTGGGCTCGCGAGCACGAAGCATGGCTGCGGCTCCTGTGCCCTCCCTCCCGGGCCAGCCCGGCCCGGTCTGTGCAGGGTGCCCAGGGGCAGGGCCGATGCCAGCTCCACGGAGCTCTGACCCTCAGGTAACCCAGCCCTCCCGTCCCGTCCCAGCGCCTATTGTCTGCGCCGCCGGGGAACCTGTTTGACTTCATTTTTTCCGGGAGATACACATGGGGGGTGGGGGGGGGGGGGGGGGCAGGAGAGAAAGCCCAGCCCTGAGCTGAGGGCTGCAGGGATCCCCGGGGCCCCTGGCCGCCCGGTGCTGGCGCCCACCCTCGGGCTGCCTTCTGGGGGGACCTGCCAGCGGCCTTCACCCTGGGCGCCTCAGAAGTCACCCGGTGCCCATTGGGGCAATGCATAGTCGGACCAGAAGTTCAAAGAGCCAGATGAGGAAACTGAGACCCAGGGAGGAGAACCTACTCACCCAAGGTCACACGGGCAGTAAATGGCCGAGCTCGAATTTGAACTCGGAGCCTTTAACTCCAAACCCACCAATCTTCCCGCTGGGCTTGCTTTTACTTGCTAGTTAAATGACCTTGGACAAGTCCCTTTCACTCCCTAGGTCTCAGTTTCCCTCTCTGTAAAACCTAAGACTGTTCAATCACATCTCTAGAGCTAGGGAGGGTCTCAGCCGCCCTCTGGTCCAACCCCCTCATTTTACAGGTGGGGAAACTGAGGCTCTGGGCAGAAGTGACTCGTCCAAGCTCACGCTGCTGAGGCACCACCATCCACAGCCAGGACCCTAGCTCCAGTCCCACCTGCTAGTGTCCCAGGAGCCATCAGCCCCCTTGGAGCAGGGGGTCCTCGGACTTGCCCCAGGATCTTTCGGCAGGGCGTCAGAAAAGGCGGCTTCGCTGCGTGCTGTCTCCCAGCCCAGGCCCGGGACCCGGCCATCCCAGCGAGCCGAGCACCAATTCCTCCATTGTTTTCCTTTGATGGGAGATGAGTGTTACAAGCAGCCACGTGGTCATTAGTCCTTCCCACCGCAGCCTGAGTCACTCACCCCCTGGTATCCGTTCTGGCACTTCCCCGCCCCGCTGGCATCCAGGCATTACAGAACCCTGGGCAGCACAGTTCTCCAGACTGGGGGCTTGCTCCACACCAGGCTGCGAGCCCCCTGAGGGCAGGTCCCAGGCTTCCCCTCAGCGCCAATAACAGCTCCTATTGGTGGAGCCTGGATGGGTAGGTGGGGGGCAGAGGAGCTCCGGTACTCAGGGACCGCCTCCCAGCCCACTTCTCCAAGGCTCCTAAAGTGTTATCCCCTCGGGGAGGTCACCCTCTGCCTCCAATGCCAGGCCAGCCTTGCTCTGTGAATCTTAGATTGGAGGCTCTGGAGTTCTGCATCCCAGTGCTGAGAACACGGGCCCTGCTAACAACGGAGGGAGAGGGTCAGCTGGCCTGCTCTCCTCACAGGCGGCAGCAGCCTCCGGGGAGATCTCGAGAGCCCACTTCCAGACAGGCGGGCACCGCGGGTGCCTGTTTGTGACATGACACCTCTGATGTCTGTCACACCCTCCCCGGACAGCATTCCATTTGGTCGGTCAACAAGTTGACTACCGGCCAGTCATCTTAGGGAGAAGGCCCTCTCAGAGAAACTGAGGCCAGTGCCACACCCTTGCTTTGCCAAACAATCCCTCTACAGAAATGCCAGCCTTGGGTGTTTGACATTTTATGACTAAAGGAAACAACCAAATCATCATCCTCTGCGGGCAGTGACTCACAGCTGGGTCACGGGCTGTGGTAGAGGAAGAGGCGTGCTTGTTGTGAATGGGTGTCCAAAGCAGCCAGCTGTGGGCATCCCTCCTGTGACCAGTGGGAACATGACTGTCCCTGGTCTTCTCCATGCTCTGGGACAGTCTTTCCCAGAGACTCTGTTACCAAGACTAAAAAGTACTTGTTGATCCGGTCACTATTTCCAGGTAAACTGAGTCAGGCAAGAAGGATGCTGTCCATTCACATGGTGCAAGCCGGCTCTCATACCCTCCACTTAACTAGAAGCAGCTATGTGTCAGTGGGTAGAGTCGGGAAGGGCCGAAGTCAAATCTAACCTCTGACGCTTAGCAACTGTGTGACCCTGAGCAAGTCACTTAGCCTGTCTGGCTCAGTTTCCTCAACTGTAAAATGGGGATAATAATAGCACCCACTTGCCAGGTTTGTTGTGATGATCATGGGAGATAATAAATGGAAAGCGATCAGCCCAGCACTCGGAACACAGTAGGTGCTTAATGCTGGCGCCCTTCCCTTCTCTGTGTCCTGGGCTCATCAGCATCCTTCAGAGGGGTGGGAATGAGGAGGGAAGGTCTGGGACCTCCTCCAGGAGCCATCTGATCGGGTATGGCTTCCCCTGATTCTGCGATCTTTTCAGAAGGATCGCTCTCGTGGGCAGGCCTGAAGCTGGCTTTATATCTAGGCCCCAATATTTGGGAAATCGAGGCTGGGCTTTTCTTGATGTTGTCAAGGCGGGGCTTCAGGGTGAAGAAACTGCTGGGGCATCTGAGAGGGGGCCATTTGGAGAGCTGGGGTAGGTAACAAAGGGAGACAGGGGCTGGACCAGGTTCTGAACAGCCATGCCTGGCTACCTGGACAGACTCAAAGCCTGAGCTGAGACTCTGGGGCAGAAGGGAGGGAGAAGGAGTGACCTGACACTCTCCTGTCCATGCAGACTGCTTCAGGGGCATGTTAGGGAGAGTGAGGGACCAGCCTGTGACTGTTGGTGTAAGGAGCTCTCTCTCCCAGGGCAGCAAGCAAGGGCAGTGAGGTGGGGCCCGAGGGAGAAAAGTGATGTTGGGCAGGACCTCCTCACCTGGAAGTGCCCCATGGGCACCCCAATGTGCAGGCTGGATCTGAGTCCCTGAGCCTCAGGCACCCCGACTCCCCAGGGTGAGCTCTGTCCAAAGGTAGCACCCTGTTCATATCCACCCCCACTTGTACCTACCTTCTGACATGTCCAACCCACTAACCCATTCCCTCCATTGCTCTCCTCGCCCAGCACCATCTCTGGGCCCCCACTTCTCCCTACCACACACACTGAGTCCCTGGCACAAATACCACAGGCTGGCCTCCCATCACCCCGGCTCCACAGACAGCCCCCACCCAGGCCTCCCTGATATCTACACACCTTACCCACAAAGCAGCAGGAGTCCAGAGACCTGGACTCTGAAGGGTTCTGGGTTCCAATGCCGCCTCAGGCCCTTCCCAAGCTGTAAGATCCTAGACATGTCACCTATCCTTTCTGAGACACTCTCCTTTCCTCCTCTGTCAAATGGGCCTCATGAGTCTCACTCTGCCTGCTTCGCTCACACATGGGCCATAAACAAGATAGGATAGACAGACATACAGATAGATAGATAGATGATAGATAGACAGGATGGAAAAATAGATACAGCTAGATGGATGGATAGATAGACATAGATAGATGATAGACAAATAGAGACAGGCAGACAGACAGACAGATAGATAGATGATAGACAGGATAGAAAATAGATACAGAGATAGACACAGATAGATGGATAGACAAATAGATATAGATAGATGATAGACAAATATAGACAGGCAGACAGATGGATAGACAGATGGATGGATGGATGGATGGATGGATGGATGGATGGATGAATGGATGGATGGATGGATGATATAAAAGTCCACTGTTACAGGACACTGCTTCACCAGGCTCTGCTGCCCTCTTCATTTCAGTACTTCATGCTGTCAAGGGCATGGTGTGGAGGGATTCAAGGTGTACTAGAGAGACCACCAGACAAGCCCCTTCCTACTCTGAGCCTCACCTTCCAACTGGTAAAAATATGGTCAAAGCCGTGTTTTAATCTTAGCACTAAAGAGGCCCTGTGGTACGACTGAGGGAGCGATGACTCTGTTTTGGGGGAACCTGGATTCAAATCCCTCCTCTGACACTTCTGATCAGGGTGATGTTGGGTAGGTCACTGAAACTCAGCTTCCTTCTCTGGCTCACAAACAAGGGTCCTGTGATCTTGTGATCAGTAATGACCGCAGAGAAGGTCTCAGAGAATGTAATGGCCTCAGAGTAATTGAGTGCCTTGCTCCAGGTTACATGCACACACACACACACACACCCACACACACACACACAGAGTCAAGGGTCAACGCCAGGACTTAGACCTGGGTCTTCTGAGGCCTTGGCACAGGAGTGAAATCACAGAGAGCAGTCCGGGGATCATGGTTCTAGATTTGTAACTGGAAGGCCTCTTAGAAGGCATTGACTGCATTTCCTCGGTGAGGAGACTGAGATCCCAGAGTGGCGGTGACTTGCCCAAAGGTCCTACTGCCAAGTGTCTGGGGTGGAATCTGAACCCAGATCCTCTGACAGCAGACAGATGCAGGGCTCTTCTCCACGGTCTCTCTACAGCACACCATGGGAGGCGCTTCAGAACACCCTCTCAGAGGGCAGAGACTGTCAAGGTTTCACCATTAGGCCATTACCATTCACCTGATCCACCACTGTAACCCGATGCCTCAGCTGCCTTCCCAGGGCCATTATTCCCATCCTGAATGTTGGCCTGTCTGTCATCAAATATTCATTCTCTCCTGTGTTCTCTGGAAGGTGAATGAATGCCGCTGTCTGAGTATGGAGAGGGGTATTGGCCAGCGGATGGATATGAGGAGAGGACCGTAGGGACCAAGATGGAGGCTGGGACAGATGGGGGCTAAAAAGTGATTGGGTAAATACAGCCATGGACCCAGTGAGGCCACCACACCCCATTGACAGCCCCTTTCCTTTTTTCAGTTTATCCATTTTATTCATCCTTTAAAAATAGCTCTTTATCTTATTAAAGTTTTTATTTTTTTACTCTTCATTTAAGTTCATTTACCATATAATTTTCAAAATGTTAGTATTTGGACAGGTTTGGGGATTTTAATTTATTTTTCTTTTTTTTTCTTTCCTTAATAGTATTTTATTTTTTCCCAATTACATGTAAAGATACTTTTCAACATTCATTTTTGTAAAACTTTGAGTTCCAAATTTTTCTCTTTTCCTCCCTCCCTGCCCTCTCCCCTCCCCAAAACAGCAAGCAACCTGTTATAGGCTATACATGTACAATGTTAAACATATTTCCACATTAGTCATGTTGTGAAAAAAGAATCAGAACAAAAGGAAAAAACCACGAGAAAGGAAAAAAAAAAATAAAACAAAACCAAAAAAAAAAAATAAAGAAAATAGTCTGCTTCTATCTTCATTCCAACTCCATAGTTCTTTCTCTGGATGTGGATAGCATATTCCATCACAAAGCCTTTGGAGATGTCTTAGATCCTTGCATTGCTAAAAAGAACTAAGTCTATCAAAGTCAGTCATCTCACAACGTGGCTGTTGCTGTGTACAACGTTCTCCTGGTTCTGCTCACTTCACCCAGCATCAGTCCGTACAAGTCTTTCCAGGTTTTTCTGAAGTCTGCCCGCTCATCATTTCTTCTAGCACAATAGTGTTCCATAACATTCATACACCACAACTTGTTCAGCCATTCCCCAATTGGTGGGCATCCCCTCAGTTTCCAGTTCAGTTCTTTGCCACCACAGAAAGGAATGCTATGAGTATTTCCCTACACGTGGGTCCTTCCCCCTTTTTTATGATCTCTCTGGGATACAACCCCAGCAGTGGTGATGTTCGCAGCCCCTTTCGTCCCCTGCCTCTGCATTCCTGGCAGGCGAAGCTGCTTCTCCCTCATCGGTCCAGTCCCTCGTTCCTTCCCACCCAGGAGGACGCAGCTATTCGTCGTATCACCCGCCCCCGCCCCCCGCCCCCCCCACCACCATTTGTAGCCAAAGCAGCCGGTAATTAGCACCTTGGTTCCTTTAATTGCTTATCCACGTTACCTTGCTGTTTGAAGCTGCTATTAAAGCTTGATGATTTACCACGAGTTTCCTCGCTCATTCATGATTGTGGGTGGCAAAGTTGACAAAGAAAATTCACCCACGGGGAGAAGGAACTTTCCCCCCGGAATGGGCTGGGAGTGGGGGTGAGCCAATGAGAGACACAGAGACGGTCAGAGGGACAGAGACAGAGTGAGAGACTTCGGCAATTCTTGACTCAGATATCTGAGCCCATTCACACCCAGGATCACTTTGTTGAACTGAAGAGATGAAGGGCCTTATCAGGAGCCAGAAAGCCATTGGGTGTGGGGGTGGAGAAGGGCTGCTGGCAGTGCGGCTGCCGCTGCCGGTGCCGGTGCTGGTGGTGCTGCTGGTTCTAGGGCTGGTGGGT